GCGTGGTCGGTATCCGAACGGCGGCCACCCTGAACATCCATTAACTACCGAAAGATACAATGTTGCGATATTTAATTGGAGCCACACGACCTCCTGTGTGTGGTCTCCCATTCGGTAGTTTGTTTGTTTGTTTCACGAACAGTGTTGAAATTCACTGTTCGTGAAACTACTGAATGCTGGTGGCTTCTCGTTCACATCAAATATAGACAAGTGAATATACTCAGTTCAGATAGCCTTAAAGCTACAACATCACATTAATGGAAAAACAGTCTTAAGTGGCTAGTTTTGCCACAGACCGTATCTTCAGAAGGATATTGATACTTTAGAGAGAGTTCAGAGAAGGGCTACTAAACTGGTTCATGGATTGCAGGATAAAACTTACAAGGAAAGGTTAAAGGAACTTAACATGTATAGCTTAGAGGAAAGATAAGATGGGGGGATATGATAGAAACATTCAAATACATAAAGGGAATCAACACAGTAAAGTAGGAGGAGGAGACTATATTTAAAAGAAGAAAAACTATCACAACAAAGGCCATAGTCCTAAATTAGAGGGACAAAGGTTTAAAAATAATATAGTATTGCTTTACTGAGAGGGTAGTGGATGCATGGAATAGCCTTCCAGCTGAAGTGGTATAGGTTAAAACAGTAAAGGAGTTTAAGCATGCGTGGGATATGCATAAGGCTATCCTAACTATAAGATAAGGCCAGTGACTAATGGAAGTATTTAAAAAAAAATTAGGCAGACTAGATGGGCAGAATGGTTCTTATCTGCCGTCACATTCTATGTTTCTAGGGTGTCCAGATAGTTCTAATAACGCCATTATGGCAACCACAGTCATGGTTCCCAACCCTCCTGAAGATGTCAATCGATCTCCCTCTGCTATTACCTCGTTATCAGGATCTACTCCGGAATCCAGCAGAATAATTTCATCCACTCGCTCGTCACGGTCATCTACGGCTCACAGTGAGGGAGTTTAAGCATGTGTGGCATAGGCATAAGGCTATCCTAGACTTAAGATAAGGCCTGGGACTAATTAAAAATATTTAGAAATATTGGGCAGTTTAGATGGGCCGAATGGTTCTTATCTGCCGTCACATTCTATGTTTCTATGTTCCTCGTCCATATTAACATTAGGTGGTTTATAACATATTCCAACCAATAGTTGGTTTCCCTTCTTTTCCCCCAAGATATTTACCCATAAAGCTTCCACATATTCCTCATCGCATTCCACTTGCTTCAGATTTGGCTTTAAATCATGGTTGACATACAAACATATCCCACCACCCTTCTTGTTTTTCCTATCCTTCCTAAATAACATGTACCTATTTAAGCTAACTGCCCAGTCATGTGTCTCATCCCACCATGTTTCAGTTATGCCTATTATATTGTATTGTTTAGTGTATGCTACTGCCTCTAGTTCCCCCATTTTGTTATTTAGGCTCCTTGCATTAGTAAGCATACATTTAATATCATGAGTCACTTGTACTTTTTGTGAATTATCAACATTACAAACCTTCTCTGTTCAGAGCTTGCCTCTCCTCCCGTCTCCACCCCCCTTATACCCCATAAAGCCCATCTCCTTTCTGTCCTGTCTCCATTTTGTAGATTGCACTGACCCTCCCCCCCTACTACTAGTTTAAAATCTCCTCCAACCTTCTAGCCATATCCCCCAGCACTGCAGACCCTCTCCCGTTTAGGTGCAGTCCATCACTACTATAAAGATTGTACCCAAGCGCAAAGTCAGCCCAGTGCTCTAAAAACCCCAAACCCTTCTTCCTGCACCAAGACTTAGGCCACGCTTTGACCTCTCTAATCTCCTGCTGCCTTTCCACTGTAGCGCGTGGCACAGGTAATATCTCAGAGAATACCACCTTGGAGGTCCTTTTCTTAAGTTTGCTACCTAATTCTCTGAAATCATTCTTTAGGACCTTCCATCTTCTGCTTACTTTGTCATTGGTACCAACATGGACCATGACCGCTGGGTCATCCCCAGCCCCTCCCAATAATCCATCCACTCTGTCCGCAACATGCCGGACCCGAGCACCCGGGAGACAGCAAACTGTCCGGTTGAGCCGATCAGAGCGGCAGATTGCCCTATCTACTCTCCTAATGATAGAGTCCCCTACCACAACAACCAGTCTTGCCTTCCTTACCTTTTGATCCCCATCCGTACTAGAGGGGCTGTTACCTCGGCTCATATTTTTAATGAGTTAAGATGTTGGTGCTTCCAACATCTTAACTCAAATGGGCAAATCTGCTAGGTTGCACTAAATCAGGACTAGCTAGCCCTTTCCTCTCCCCCCCCCCGCTTCCTCGACCCACTGCCACCCAGCTACATGCCTGTTCCCCATCTGTCTTATCTCCTCCCTCTCCACTACCTGTCTTCACTAATCTCTGAGCAGCAGACTCCTTTTAAGATTGTCAATCTCCCTCAAAGTTGCGATTTGCTTTTTGATATCTCCAATCTGAGCTTCCAGAAAAGTCACTCACACACAACCGTCACAGAAGTATGGACCCTGGACGGGTACATCCAGGCATGCATACATGCAACAAGATGTTCATTGAGTCAAACCACCAATCTTGCTAACACTCATTTCCCCAGATACTGAACAATAAATCAATAACCTTCTTAGTTTGAACTCCTGGTTTTCTAACTCCTGCTTGAAAGAGTCTGCTTAATAGAGTCTGCTTTCAAGTAATGTGAGCAAGCTCAGTGAGTTAGGGGTGTGCCTTTATGGGGATACAAATCTCACACAGGTGCAATTAATGAACACTCCCCCAATCAATCAAGCAGCAGCACAAAACAGGGGGAAAAAACAGAACACAGAAAAAATAAAAATAAAATAAAAACAATTTTTTTTTTTTAAACTTTACCAATAGAACAGATTAAACAAAAATAAAATACAAACCACTCTCCACAGTATACAAACCACTCCAAGCAACTCCTGGTTTTCTAACTCCTACTTGAAAGAAAGAAATACGGCGATACTTAGCACGGAAATGCAAAAAATGCATGAAAGGACAAGAGAAAAATAATGCGGCTAATTTTAGCAGAGATCGATTGAAAAAAAAAAAAAAACATCTGAAAATATTCAATAGAACCCAGATTGACTTATTTGCAAATAGTATACAATGATGCAAAATGTTCACTTGTCACACCCCTTTTGATTAAAAAGAAATTAAAAGTTTTTAGTTGGTCTGGTTGGCCAAATGTTAAACTTAATCTTGCATTATAGGTTTGCCATAAAGTAAGAACCAAAGGAAAAAAAGTTACCTGCGCTCTCTCTTTAATCCCTATGTATATTTAACCCCTTAAAACCGGAGGGCGTACTATTACGCCCTATTCTAAGCGACTCTAAACGCCGCAGGGCGTAATAGTACGCCCTCCGGTTTTTCTTACTTACCCCGGTTACTTATCGCGGTTGGGGAGACTCACCTGGGATCCCAGAGAGTCCCCCGCGGCGGGTCCTGCCTCCTCCTTGCCAGGACCTCACAATCACATGGCCGGGTTAGCTGGCTGCTGCATTGCCAGCAGGGGGACTGCCTGTAATGACAGTCCCCCTGCTGGCTGAATTCAAATAAAAAAAATATATATATATATATATATATATATATATATATATATATATATATATATATATACACACACATACACTGTCTAGGTGTATTTTACTATTAATATATATAATTATATATATATTATCAAATTACACATAGACTGATACTGATTATATATATATATATATATATATATATAATTATTGTTATATATATATTTTATATAATATAAAAAAAGTAAATACGTTAAAAAATAAAATTTAAAAAATAATTAAAAATAAATAATTAAAAAATATATAGATCTGTGTGATTTCGTTCTAACTGTATTGTGATAATATATATATATTTATATCAAAATACACATAGAACGAAATAATATATATATCTATATACATAAATATATACATATTATATACCTATATATAAATAAAAATATTTTAAAAAAATGATATATATATATATATATATACATATATATACACACATACGTATATATATATATACATATATTAATTCTACATATGTATTTATGTAATATTTTTACAGAATTAGGTATTTTATTTAATTACAATTAGCGTGACCTGCCTGACAACCGAAAGTATAGGGAATTTAATTTGCTAGCACTATATTTAACCCTATAACTTTTTCAAGACACCTTAAAACCTTTACATGGGGGGTACTGTTTTACTCGGGAGACTTCACTAACACAAATATTAGTGTTTTAAAACAGTATACATAATAAAGTCCATAAAAGTGCCTTTCGTTTGTAAAAAAACAAAAATGCAAAAAATGTCACTTTTACTTAAAATATATTATTGTAGGGGCGTGGCTTAGCGGCGAATGAGAGCGGTCGCCTGATCTCGGAGCTCTCCCGCCGATGGGTGTTTACAGCGTGACTACACAGCATACAAGCACCGGCAAGAGCGGCAAACAAGCGGGCATACCCCCACCTCATAATGTCCACAAAGTCCGCCAAGAAATTCAAACAAAAGACCCTCCAAATGCAAGTGATAGCGTCGCCGAAGTGCGGACAGGAGGAACAAAATGGCGCCGACCAGCCCCAGTCCCCAGCCTCATGCTCAGAAGGCGGTGAGTTTACCCTCACTGCAGATGACATGCAAGCACCAGCCACAAATGCTTCACTACAGAACATGCTATCTGAATTAAAACACACCTTCAAAACAGACCTGAAACAAATTGCTACAGATATCAGGGCTGACATTCAAGCTTTAGGTGAAAGAACAGCACGTCTGGAAGAGAGAGCAGAGGAAACTATAGAGGCCCATAATAGCCTAGCAGAGGCACACAACGACCTAATACAGAGAGTACAAAGCCTAGAAGCAAAAGTGGCAGACCACGAAGACCGGGACCGCCGCAATAATATTAGAATCCGGGGAATACCGGAATCAGTCGGCTCCCTAGATCTAACCCAATATGTAAAGGAAATATTTACAGCATACGTTCCAGCATTGAAGGAAACTGAGTTGCTGCTTGACCGCACACACCGCCTCCCAAGACCCAAGCACTTACCGACTACAGTACCGAGAGACGTCATAACGCGAATACACTATTTCACAACGAAAGATCGAATAATGCAAGCGTCTAGACGCCAAGGTCAGCTCCCAGGTCAATTTTCCCAAATCAAGCTATTCATTGACCTCTCCACTGCGACTATGATAAAAAGGCGATCGTTTACCCACATCACAGCGGCATTGAGAACGGCGGAAGTACAGTATAAATGGGGCTTCCCGACCAAGTTACTAGTAAAACGCAACGGCGTAGACAACCTGATTCTTGATCCTGAATCCGGTAAAAGACAACTGTTGGAGTGTGCTGACCAATCGTGTGCTGACCACACGGTACTCATACGGGACAGGTCGTATACAAAGACTATAATAGTTCATGCTCCTTTCCTGCAAATTACCATGCCGGGCTAAAAGCCTACCTACACCCAGGGAGGGCGCCACTAAGGCCACCCAGAATTGCTATGATAATTTTTGTTGTTAAATCCTTGCAACTGATTTCAATAACCACCCCCAATGTGGCTACCGACTCAGAGCCACAAGAGAATCCGTTAGATTTGACACTGCACCGCAGAGGCGCAGTGAACGGAACACTGTACATACTTGATTATTGGTTCAGTTATTATATTGTTTTAACCCTTTTTATTTTTATAAGGCAAACCCCACAGACAGTATGTCCCGCATCCTTAACACCATCTGGCACCAACAGGTTAGCTATACAATTACCTCCCATTAGGGAACCTAATGTTGGAAGAGTACCCTGTCTCCCCCCGAGTAGCCACAGACTACACCACATGTCAGATGGTACTTAAAATATGCTCCCTAAATACTAAAGGGCTGAATTCCCCTCACAAGCGCCGCCTAGCACTGCGCGAAGCAAAATCATTAGGTGCCCACGTAATGCTCTTCCAAGAAACGCACTTCCAATGGGGTAACAGACCGAAGTTTAACTCCCCACAGTATCCCATAGATTTTCACTCATGTTACTCCAAAAAAAAAAGAGGAGTGTCCATCCTTATTGGCAGAGATGTAGCTTTCTCCCTAATACGCAAAATAGGAGATAAAAAGGGAAGGTACCTTATATTGCAATGCTCCCTAAATAATAATGTCTATACCTTAATTAATGTCTATGGACCTAATGTTAACCAATGTAACTTTGTTGATGTACTGCTTGGTTTGATGTCTGCTCACGCACTTGGGGAAGTGATCATTGGGGGTGACACGAATTTCTTACTAGACAGTGACCTAGACTCATCAGGAGGTCCCCAATTGACTGCACAAACACTAAAGAGCAGGTCCAAACTAGCCACACTAATATGCAACAAACTAACACCGCACAATCTTGTAGACCCATGGAGAGTCACCCATCCCACAGAGAGGGACTACACATGCCACACAGCAGCGCATAAGACTTATTCGAGAATAGATAGGTTATTGATCCGCACCTCCTCCATCATAAAAGTTGAGCGCACAGACATAGGCCTTATTACATGGTCGGACCATGCCCCTATTACACTACAACTTAGGGAACAATTCCCCAACTCAGGAAGAGGCAGTTGGAGACTCAATGAACAATTACTCGCTGACCCAGCCATAGTTAACCAAATAGAACAAGATCTACAGTTTTATTTTAAAGAAAACAAAACCCCAGACTCACCTCTACCCCAAATATGGATGGCGCACAAAGCTTTCATAAGAGGCAGCTTCATCAAGCACGCCAGCTACGCAAAAAAAAAGCGACTAGAATCTTACACAGCCATACTTTCTGAACTAACCTCCCTAACTCACACCAACAAACACACCCCCACAGCAGCCACACATACCAAATTATTGCGCTTACAATCGCAGCTCAGAGATTTGGAACTGGCCAAAACCACATCCCTCATGCGCAAGTTTAAACACAGCTTTTTTGCTACAGGCAACAAAGCGGGAGCGCGGCTGGCTGCCCAATTGAAACAGAGGACGGCTAACTCCAAAATTGCCTCCATCAAGGGTTCCAGGGGCACCTTAATTTTAAACCCACAGGGGATAGTGGACGAATTCGCCCATTATTATGAAAAATTATATAATCTGAAAGATGACCCACAGACAGTCTGCCCCTCTAAAGCAGATATTGACGCTTTCCTGGCAGGAATCGACCTTCCTACCCTATCTCAGATGGAGGCGGATCAACTTAACAAACCCTTCACGACCGAAGAGATCACCTCGGTGATCTCCACGCTCCCACTACATAAAGCACCGGGACCTGATGGCCTGCCCAATAAATATTACCGCACCTTCCTTAACACCCTAGCGCAACCTCTTGGCGCTCTATTTAACCACTGCATGACAGAAGGGGCATTGCCAGAAGAAGTCACAATGGCACATGTCTCCACACTTCCCAAACCGGGCAAAAATACAGATCAATGTAAAAACTTCAGGCCCATTTCATTGTTAAATAGTGATGCCAAAATCTACGCAAAACTATTTAGCGAAAGATTGGCACCGTTGCTACATAAATTAGTACATAATGACCAGTCCGGATTCGTGAGGGGCCGACAAGGCTCTGATAACTCGAGGAAAGTGCTAAACATAATAGCGGGAATGGAGAGGGGACAAATCGGAGGTCTTTTCCTGGCGCTGGACGCCGAAAAGGCCTTTGACAGACTTAACTGGCAATATATGACACAAGTGCTGTGCAAGTATCAGTTCCCCGAAGAGGTTATCAGGGGAATCCTGGCTCTGTACGCACGACCCAGTGCTAAGGTCTCCCATGGGGGCTTCCTGTCACGCACTTTCCACATTACGAATGGGACACGCCAGGGTTGCCCACTATCCCCCCTGTTATACATACTCTCACTGGAGCCCTTGGCTTGGAAGATAAGACAACACCAGGCCATAACCGGTATCACACTGGGGGACAGGGAATATTGTCTGGCGATGTTTGCGGACGATATTTTCGTGGCGCTTTCAAATCCAGAACAATCGCTGCCCCCTCTACTAACTCTACTGACAGACTATGGTAGAATATCATACTACCGTCTGAATAAGGAGAAAACACAAGCCCTACCGATAAACCTACCAGGGCCAAATGTAACTACCCTTAAGAACTCCTTTGAACTCGACTGGCGAACAACATCTATAACGTACTTAGGGGTTAAGATCGCCGCTCCTATTAGCAACATAGTAAAGCTCAATTATAAGCCCCTCATACATCTATGCACCACAGAAATACATAAATGGAAGAATGCAAAATTGTCCTGGCTGGGCCGAGTGAATGCATATAAGATGATGCTTTTGCCAAGGTTACTGTATATATTCCGCATGCTCACAATAGACATCCAAGCCGCAATCCACAAATCGTTACAAGCCATATGCAACTCCTTCATCTGGGGGGGTAAGAAACCCAGGCTGCCCCTAGGTCTCCTACAACGGACGACCCAAACGGGGGGTATAGGCATGCCCAACATTGGACTCTATTACAAAGCCTCTATCCTAGCAACGAGTATACACATACACGCCCAAAAGGGGGTAACACAGTGGGTGGATATGGAACAAGACCAACTTAAGCACACCTCACTGCTTAATTACCTATGGACGCCGAGAACACTAAGAGGCCCCAAAGTAACTCTATACCCCACCACACTCGCAACGGTCAAAGTATGGGACGACTTTATGTCCTCATTGGGCTGGAGGAAACACTTCCACCCTGAAGCTCCCCTTACTGCACTACATGCAGTGAATCCTACGATCCCACTAAACAGATGGTCACGCTTAGGTATATCCCAAATCCAACAACTGTGTACAGACCAGACGATCATGAGTTTCCCAGACATCAGAGACAGATGGAAGGTCCCGGAGAGGGATATCTTTCCCTACTTACAACTGAAAAACACAATAAACACGCACGTCAAGGGCACACCTCACACTGGGCCTACTCCTGCGGTAGCAGCGAGACTGATACCCCACAGATGCTGGACAGCCCCGATGAAACCCAAAGCCCTCTCACTTTGCTATAAAGCATGGCTTGACCTAGCACCACAAAAACCGATGACATGTAAACAGCACTGGGAGACTGAGAGGGGGACAGTCATGACAGAGGAAAGGTGGATGCTGGCCCTAAATGGGATCAAAAAGTGGACCAAGTGCTACTCACATATTGAAGCGCATCGCAAACTACTATATAGGTGGTACATGACACCCACCAGACTACACAGAATGTACCCAGACGTTTCCACCAAATGTTGGAGATGCGGTGTGGAAGAGGGAACCCTGCCACACATATGGTGGCATTGTGGAGGGATACAACCTATCTGGGGAGATGTTCAGACCCTATTGAAAGATCTCGGCATTAGAGACTTCCCCATGGACATAACGACCTGCCTACTCTTGCTGTTCCCCGAAACAACACAAAAAAACCACACACAATTGATAGGGATAGTTTTAATGGCCGCTAGAAACCTGATAGCTCTAAACTGGAAAACACCTCGCTGCCCAGCCATCCACCAATTGGCAGACAAAATACAACAATTCTATATATACGAGAAAATGTCCACTGACAACGCCAGGGCCACGGAAAGGTTCCAAAACACTTGGAATATCTGGGAGACATGGTATGAGGGACAGAAACACCAGGGAGGGTGAGAGGGGAGGAGGGGACCCAGAAGAGTCAGGGCGGCCCAGGGAAACATGGACGGTGACTTATGTGAGCTGACATGGCCAAAGTACGCAGGAAATGCTGGATTCAAACTATTATGATTTGCCTCTATATTTGTTTGTGTATATACCTTTGTTACGTTTATTTGAATTGTAATATCAACCCAATTGAAGAGTAATTGCAAACCAGCTTTGATAAAATGTTACATAGTACACGGAGGTAGATGATGTTACTGTATAACTTTAGAGTACAAATATATTATCCTGTAACCCGCTGAATACTCGTTGTATACACTATGAAACAACTATGTACTGGATCTTTACCTTTGAAAAACCTTCAATAAAAAATAAATATTAAAAAAAAATATATATTGTTGTAATACAATTTACCAGTTTGAAACACTAATATTTGAGTTCAGCGAAGTCTCCCGAGTAAAACAGTACCCCCTATGTACTGGTTTTATGGTGTCTTGGAGAGTTACAGGGTCAAATATAGTGCTTGCGAATTACATTCTCTGCACTTTCTCCCTGTGTTGTCAGGCATGTCAATCAAATTTTAATTAATCAAATCACATAATTATGTTGAAAGATTACTTAAGTATAAATTTTAATATATATGCATTTATAGGTATTTAAATTCTACGTGTATACTAATGTAATCTTTTATGTAATTATATGTATTTATATATATATATATATATATATATATATATATAGAATGTCTTTCTAAGTGTATTTTGTTATCAGTATATATATATATATATTAATAACAAAATACAGTTAGAATGAAATTACATATGAATATATAATTTATATTAAATTTTGTTTCAATATTTTATTTATTATTGTAATTATACGTGTATATATATATATTATATATATAATATATATATACATATTATATGTAACGTCATTCTAAGTGTTTTTTAATACTAATATATATATTAATATTAAAATACACTACGTATGACGTTACATATATATAATGTGTGTGTGTGTGTGTGTGTGTGTGTGTGTATATATATATATTAGACATGTTTCTACTTTATTTTAAAACATGTCTAATATTTATTTATTTTTTAACTTTCCCACCAGCAGGGGGACTGTCTGACATTTCAAACAGTCCCCCTGCTGGCAGATCCACAGCCAGCTATAGGGGGCTATGTAATTGCTCTTTGAGAGCGATCACATGGCCCGCGGGGGCTTCTTTTGCCGGGGGAGGGCTGTCTGGGCTGTCAGGCAGTTCTCCCGAAGCGGAGCGCCAGGAAGGTATGTATTTCTGAGGCTCCAGGGCTCAAAGCCGTTACGGCGTTCTATGCCGCCGCAACGGCTTTAAAGTCCTGTTAATGCGGGACGGCATAAAACGCTGTAACGGCGTTAAGGGGTTAAACAAATGGAGGTCATTTAGTTACTAAATTACCTCCTTTTGTTTAAATATACATAGGGATTAAGAAGAGAGCGCAGGTAACTTTTTTCCTTTGGTTTTTACTATACATATTGGGGCTGATGTGTACTGTGGTTGTTGCTGCCACCCAGGAGTGATGGGAGTGAGCGCAGGACTTATCTTTTTGTATTGCCATAAATTATTTATTTAACCCCTTAAAACCGGAGGACGTACAATTACGCCCTCTAATAGGCGGCTCTAAACGCCGCCGGGCGTAATTGTACGCCCTCCGGTTTTTTTTGTTAACTTACCCGGCGATCGCGGTTGGGGGGACTCCCAGGGAGCCCCCCGCGGCACATCCGTCCTCGTCGAAGCCCCCCGGCCATGTGAGAGTGGGGTCCTAGCGAGGACCCCACAATCACATGGCCGGGGATAGCTGGCTTCTGTATTGCCGGCAGGGGGGCTGCCTGTAATGACAGGTGGTCCCCCTGCTGGCTGAAAATAAAATAAAAAAAGTTAATGGTGTAAAAAAAAATAATTATATATACTTAGATCATATATATATATTATATATATATGATCTAAGTATATATATACACATATACATACACACACATACACCGTCTAGGTGTATTTTACTATTATTATATATATAATTATATATATATATTAATATCAAATTACACGTAGACTGATACTGATTAAATATATATATAATTATTGTTATATATATATTTATATATAATATAAAAAAAATAAAAATGTAAATACGTTAAAAAATAAAATTAAAAAAATAATTAAAAATAAATAATTAAAAATATATAGATGTGTGTTATTTCGTTCTAACTGTTTTGTGAAATTAATATATATATATATATCAAAATACACGTAGAACGAAATAATATATCTATATACATAAATATATACGTATATATCACTATATATATATACCTATATATAAATAAAAATATTTAAAAAAAATTATAGATATATACATATATATACACATACGTGTAATATTTTTACATAATAGGTATCTTAGCAGGACCTACAACCCATGAAAGTAAAGGGAATTTAATTTGCTAGCACTATATTTAACCCTATAACTTTCCGAGACACCATAAAACCTGTACATGGGGGGTACTGTTCTACTCAGAGAGTGAAAACAGCAATTATTTATTTTTCATGCACAAACAGCATTACACGGACAATATTATTGCTGTGATACTTTTTACTGTTTTGAAACACAAATATTTGTGTTCAGCGAAGTCTCCCGAGTACAACAGTACCCCTCATGTACAGGTTTTATGGTGTTTTCAAAAGTTACAGCGTCAAATATAAGGCTTGCGTTTCATTTTTTTCACATTAAAATTCGCCAGATTGGTTACGTTGCCTTTGAGACCCTATGGTAGCCCAAGAATGAAAATTACCCCTATGATGGCATACCATTTGCAATAGTAGACAACCCAAGGTATTGCAAACAGGGTATGTCCAGTCTTTTTTAGTAGCCACTTAGTCACAAACACTGGCCAAAATTGGAATTTTTTGCATTTTTCACACAAACAGATACGAACGCTAACTTTGGCCAGTGTTTGTGACCAAATGGCTACTAAAAAAGACTGGACATACCCCATTTGCAATACCTTGGGTTGTCTACTATTGCAAATGGTATGCCATTATGGGTGTAAATTTCATTCCTGGGCTACTATACAGTCTCAAAGGCAACGTAACCAATCTGGCAAATTTCAATTTCAAATGTAGCGTGCTATATTTGACCCTGTAACTTCCCAAAACGCCATAAAACCTGTACATAGGGGGTACTGTCTTACACGTGAGACTTTACTGAATATAAATATGTGTATTTTATTGCAGTAAAAGCAAACAGTATTATGACATTGATCGTTAAAATGTCATGTAGAACTAAAAAATTTTTTTTTAAAAATTATTTTCTCCCATTTTTTTCATATTAAATTATGTTTCATAGCTAAATATTTGATATTAAATGAAAGCCCTGTTTCCCCTGAATAAAATGATATATAATAAGGGTGGGTGCATTTACTATGAAAGAGGTGTATTACGGTTGGACAGACATGTAGCGCAAATGCCAGGTTTTGTTTACATTTTGTTTTGTTCACAATGTGTACATTTGGCTCCGTCCTTAAGGGGTTAAAATAAAATGCAAAATGTATGTGTTTGTTTATTTTATAATCTACATGTATCTGTAAATATTGTAATTTCTTTGTTTTATAAAATGAACAAATGAGTATAGGTCACAATGACAAAAAAATATTTTCTTAAGCATACAAATCCATGACAGAACATCACTGTGCAGTTAAAGGACCAATAAAGTCACCAAGGTCACTTCATCTCAATGAAGTGGCATGGGTATAGTGGTCCTGTTTTTAACATTGCCGTTTTTAAAAACGGCAATGTTTACATTGCAAGGTTAAATCCTCCTCTGACTGTCATACTGACAGATACCAGAGGCAATTTCTACCTCAAGTTCTCTTTGTGTGTATCCTTCGTCACCTCTCCCATATAGGAAAGCCAAGGATGCCATATCTTAGTATAATGAGCCAGTTTCCCCAGGGACGACCACCTGACTTCTTCCAAGGTATAAAAGTGCTCCATTTTAGCTATCCATTCCCTTAAGCCTGGGGTCTTGGTCACCTTCTACAAGCTCGCTATTACATACTTGGCTGTCGTAAGCATAAAATACAACAACGAGTTTCTGAATTTGGTTAAAGATGTATCCATGTGTATGAGTAGCATAGTGTTCATCTCAAGGGATTGGCTCGTACCTGTAATTACCTGTACCGAGGCCCCCATCTGTACCAAAAAGGGCGTTCTCCCCTTACACTTCCACCAAATATGGCACAAGTCAACTGTCGTCTCTCAACATCTCCAGCAAAGCTGTGATGTGGTTGGATGGAATCTATTAATTTCCCGTGGCGTTAGATACCATCCCGAAATCAACTTGTAATTCATTTCTTGCAACCGGACACTTAACTGGGCCTTCTCCCCCCCATGGAGAACCCTAAGTAGTTCTCCCATTTCTTGGTGATGAAGATGGGGCTGAATTTGTTTAAAGACATCGTGAAGTTGATTTAGCAACTGCTGAGGAACCTGAGCATAACCTTTTAAACTCTGTATGTGCCTTTAGAGCCCCCATTGGGATTTCTAGGGTTTTGATAAAGTGTAAAGCCTGAAAACATTGGAATTCCTCTGCTAGAGGTGGAGGCTTACTGTTTATTATAACTGATAGAGGTCGAAGCCACAGACGATCTAGTGGTATATATGGTGCATTCTCTAAATGTGTTGTTAGGGACAGTATAAGGCCTTTTAACCCTACCGTGAATAGGGTGTTGTGGGAGATGGGATATCTCTGTGAAATCGTGGGAGAGATCTCAGGCAAGTGGGCTATTTTGGACCACACTGAAAGTGTTGCTGAAATGGTTGGATGCTGTGGAATTGGGTACTCCTTGGACCCTGAAACTGCTCAAAGGAGGGCCTGTAGAGAGATATGAGAGGCGTCTTGTTCAATGTAAATACAAAGTTTGGAGGGGGGTTGTGTGCGCCAGTCTAGAATTCTGTTCATATGTACTGCGTAATGGTAGTGGAGGTTGTTGGGAAGTCCCAAGCCTTCCCTGTGTTTAGAGCAGGTGATACAGGATGCAGGGGAGTATGTTCATTGATATGGCACTGACCCTTCCCATCCATCTAAGAGTGGGTTTATCCCATGTCTGCAAGTCTGCCTGTATGGCACTCAGCAAGCGGGGAAAATTCAATGCGTATAAAGCGCTAGAGTTAGCTGGGATGTTTACACCCAGGTATTTTATTGATGTAGGGGCCCACTGGAACTGAAACTCCCTTTGCAGCCGTTCCACTTCCCCCTGTTGTACCATGAGAAAAAGTATTTTGCATTTCTCTGCGTTAAAGCGGCACTGTCATGCTGAACTTACCTTTCCCCAATCGATTCCTCTTCTCTTCCTCTTTCAGGATCTGTTCTTCATTTCTTCCCGTCTGCTCTAGTTTTCTTTAAAAATTAAGACAAAGTAGGGACTATTTCTCTTATGGAGACTTCCATTGCAGTGACCAGCAGAGGAGCAAAGTGTGCTTCGTTTCCGGTGGTCAGAGCAATTTTCCCATAATACTCAGCTTTCCTCCCTGTTCCCGCGATGCAGCCGCTTAGTAGATAGCTCCCTAATTCCCACGGTATTAGGGAGCTATCTACCAAAAAGCTGAAAGACCTAAATTGGTCTTTCAGCCACATTTACTAATACTAAGTAAAGATTACTTAGTATTGGTAAATTCAGCCCCTACTCTCTATACCGCGAGTAGGGGCATGTCTACTAAGCAGTGAGCAAAAAAAACTGTGCGTTGGGTGGGGCCCAGAAATCACAATGGGGGGGACCTAGTGTCCTCCCCACCCCTGAGCGGTAGGTGGGGGCCATAAAGATAATGAGGGGGGGACCTACTGTCCTCCCCACCGGCCCCCACCCCTGCGCAGTGGGTGGGGGCCAGAAATCACAATGGGGGGGACCTACTGTCCTCCCCACCCCTGAGCGGTGGGTGATGGCCATAAAGATAATGAGGGGGGGGACCTAATATCCCCCCCACCGGCCCCCACCCCTGCGCGGTGGGTGGGGGCCAGAAATCACAATGGGGGGGACCTAGTGTCCTCCCCACCCCTGAGCGGTAGGTGGGGGCCATAAAGATAATGAGGGGGGGACCTACTGTCCTCCCCACCGGCCCCCACCCCTGCGCAGTGGGTGGGGGCCAGAAATCACAATGGGGGGGACCTACTGTCCTCCCCACCCCTGAGCGGTGGGTGATGGCCATAAAGATAATGAGGGGGGGGACCTAATATCCCCCCCACCGGCCCCCACCCCTGCGCGGTGGGGGCCAGAAATCACAATGGGGGACCTACTGTCCTCCCGGCCCCGACCCCTGCGCGTTGGGTGGGGGCCAGAAATCACAATGGGAGAGGGACATACTTTCCTCCCCCCGGCCCCCACCCCTGAGCGGTGGGTGGAGGCCAGAAATCACAATGGGGGGGGACCTACTGTCCTCCCCCCCGGCCCCCATCCCTGAGCGGTGGGTGGGGGGCAGAAATCAAAATGGAGGGACCTACTGTTCTCGTGCCCCTGGTCTCCACCCCAGAGCGGTGGATGGGGGCCATAAAGATAATGAGGGGGGGAAACATACTGTCCCCCTGGCCCCCACCCCTGGGCAGCGGGTGGAGGCCCTAAATGGCAAATTCCCCCCCTTCAAAGGTGACTAGGGGTCCTATCAGAGTGCTCTTTTCCATTTTACACAGCACGGGAAAGTTCTTTGGAATGTTCCCACGCTGTGTAATTTGACTCATAACACTCTGATTGGTGGGCTTTGAATCTAACCAATGAGAGTGCTCTGTGTCATTTTACACAGAGTGGTAAAGTTCTCTGATTGGATGGATTTCAAGCCCACCAATCAGAGTATTATGAGTCAAATTACACAGTGTGGGAAAATTCCAAAGAACTTTCCCACGCTATGTAAAATGCAGAGCACTCTGATTGGCTTAAACCAACCAATCGGAGTGTTCTTAGCCTTATTGCAGGGCGGGGCAAGGCTTTATAAGCCCTATTTTATTGATGTAGGGGCCCACTGGAACTGAAACTCCCTTTGCAGCCGTTCCACTTCCCCCTGTTGTACCATGAGAAAAAGTATTTTGCATTTCTCTGCGTTAAAGCGGCACTGTCATGCTGAACTTACCTTTCCCCAATCGATTCCTCTTCTCTTCCTCTTTCAGGATCTGTTCTTCATTTCTTCCCGTCTGCTCTAGTTTTCTTTAAAAATTAAGACAAAGTAGGGACTATTTCTCTTATGGAGACTTCCATTGCAGTGACCAGCAGAGGAGCAAAGTGTGCTTCGTTTCCGGTGGTCAGAGCAATTTTCCCATAATACTCAGCTTTCCTCCCTGTTCCCGCGATGCAGCCGCTTAGTAGATAGCTCCCTAATTCCCACGGTATTAGGGAGCTATCTACCAAAAAGCTGAAAGACCTAAATTGGTCTTTCAGCCACATTTACTAATACTAAGTAAAGATTACTTAGTATTGGTAAATTCAGCCCCTACTCGCTATACCGCGAGTAGGGGCATGTCTACTAAGCAGTGAGCAAAAAAAACTGTGCGTTGGGTGGGGCCCAGAAATCACAATGGGGGGGACCTATAAGCCTTGCCCCGCCGTGCAGAGCTCAGTCTGCGCGGAGCCCTCCATGGGTGAAGATGGATAAATTTTTTTAGCGTCGGGTTTTTTGTTTTTCGTCTGTTTTCTGGGGGTTTTTTTTGCTTAGGTTTTTTATTTTATTTTAATTTCGACGGGTATTATGTTTTTTTTGGGGGGGGGGCTGAAAAATTAAGATTTTAGAAGAAAGAAGACCTCAAATGGTAAGAAGGTTACCCCCCATTATCCTTTATGGCCCCCACCCACCGCTCAGGGGTGGGGGCCGGGGGGAGGACAGTAGGTCCCCCCCTCATGATCTTTATGGCCCCCACCCACCGCGCAGGGTTGGGCGCCGGGGGGGAGGACAGTAGTTGTCCCCCATTATCCTTTATGGCCCCCACCCACCGATCAGGGGTGGGGACCGGGGGGGGAGGACAGTAGGTCCCCACCACATTCTTATTTAGGGCCCCCACCACATTCTTATTTAGGGTTGGTTTGTTTGTTTGTTTTTTTAACAGTGAACAGCTCATTGTTTAGTAGGCATGCCCCTAGTCACAGTATAGCGAGTAGGGGCATTGGGGAAATTTTTATCTCCCTTATTCTATTATGGGGGTCATATTGACCCCCATAGAGTAAGGGGGACCTGGGGGGGGGGCTTAGGAAGTGGCGGGGAGCAGTGCTCCCTGCCACTTCTATCTTTGCATATTACAAGGAGGGAGCTGTGTGCCGGTAGCTCCCTCCTTGTAATAAACTAAACGAATGTACAAACACTGATATTCAGTGTTAGTTTGTTCGTCTGAAATTCCTAGTCATTCATTCGTCTTTCTGACGTATTAATGAATGGATGAAATTCCCGTTTGCATGTCCAAGTGTTTCACTGGGCATGTCCGGGAATTTCACAGCGCTATCTAGTGTGGACAGATATTGAGGAAGGGGATATTGAGTTCAGGGAGTCCAAAAAGTGGGATGCCAATTCTTGTGCAAAGTTTTTATAGTATGCACAAGAAAAACCGACCGGCTTTATTCAAGGGGGTCGTGTTTATTGCCTTTTGTCAGTTCCTCCAAGGTAAAGGGATTGTCTAAGGCCTGGGCCTCCATCTGGGACAGCTTAAAATCCAAGCAACATTCCAGGTAGATCCTCATGTAATTCTTGGTCGGGGAGTATGTTGCAGATTGTAAAGGGAGCTATAAAATTCCCTAAACGCTTCTGCTATGTCCTCAGCCGTGTGGGCAGTTGTTCCATCTGTCCTTTTGATTTTTGGAATATAGGTGCGTTGTTGTTGGGTTTTTAGTGCAGAAGCCAGTAACTTCCCACATCTGTCACACTGTGAGTAAAATCTCTGTTTAGTCCAGAGCATCACCTTTTTAGTGCTGTCGCCCATGAGGATCTTAAGTTCAGATCTAAGTGATACTAGTTTGCTTTAGTCTCTGTCTGAAAGTGTGTTTTTATGTCTATCCTCCAATTCTTTAATATCCCGTAGTAGCTTTTTCCCGGTGCTAGATTTTTCCCTTTTCACTTGTGACCCCCACTTCACTAGCTCCCCCCTCATGACACAATTGTGAGCTTCACATTGTACTATAGGGGTGGTATCCTCTGTTATATTTTCCCTAAAATATTGCTTGATAGAGGTCGACAGTGCCTGGCGGACTCCAGGATTTTGTAGTAGATAGGGGTTAAGTTTTCATTGATACTTAGTCACCGGCATCGTGGGAATTGCAATGTCAAGTGTTATAGGGGCCTGGTCGGACCAGACCATAATACCTATAGTAGTGGAGCGTATTAATTAAAGGTCATTGTGTGGTACCAGAAAATAGTTTATTCTCGTGTAAGTTCTATTTGGGATTGAATAGAAGGTAAAGTCTTTTGTGGTCGGGTTCTGGATTCTCCCGCAATCAACAAGTTGGCTGTCATGTAATAGCCTGTGCATCTGGGCCCTAGCTGAAGCGAGATGGGCTGAATTAGCTGCAGTACTATCTCTTTGGGCATCTTGGGATAGATTAAAGTGACCCCCTATGAGGAGGAGTCCCTCAGCGTGACGTCTTATCACAGACGGTATGCGTCTAAATGAGGAACACTGGTTTTTATTTGGAAGATGCACATTCACCAAGGTTAATGTGCCCACTAGCCCCTTGAGAAGAACAAACCTACCTGAAGTGTCCAAAATATGGTGTTGCTATGTGAAAGAAACCATGGAGTTTATCATTTTGGCCACCCCCCTGGATTTGCTGAGCTGGAAGTTGTTATAGTAGCAGTGAGGAAATCTCTTATGGCTCAATTTGGGAGCCCCTTAACCACGAAAATGCGTTTCCTGCACAGAAACTACATCAGCTTTCATTTTAAAGAAATCCCTTATCGCCATTTGCCTTTTTTCGGGAGAGTTAAGACCCCTAACATTGTATGATATGATTTTGTAAGTTTGCATCTTAACTTAACGTAGGTTTAATTTTTAACACTATGGAGACTGCGCCCTGCACAATAGTCACTCTTGTATAAAGGTAATCTATTTGGGGGAGTGTTCTCAAAAAAAAAAACACAAAAAAGGTTTAACAATCAACAAATAAACAAGTTAAAAGATCACTGCAAGCAGTAATACAGGAGGGTGCAAATAGCCACCCGAACTGGAGACGGTGTCTCTCCCGGATTATCCCTAGCCGTCCAGTCTGGGGCGGGAGTTAAATCCACAAGATGTATGTGAATAAATTCAAGGATAAGAGTGTCTATCACACCGCTCGTACTACGTACAATGGAGGGGTTGGGGGGAGTTTTATACAAACACGTGCATTAGGTGTTAGTCAGTATACGGGAATCAAGTTTAAGCTGTGCACGAATTATACACAGCTTTGGAAGTAAATGTTATCAGTCTTAAAAAAAAAAAAAAAAAAGATGGAGTATCTAAGGATTCAGAGGAGCATTATTGTTTCCGACATCCGAACTACGAGAGCAAATATATAACTAATCTCAATGTAGCTGTTATTGGCTTGACAGGCCCGCAAATGGAATACCTATGTTTTTTTGGTTTTGTTTGTTTTTTATTATTTTTTTTAAAATTATTTTTAGTTTTTATTATTTGTGCAAATCTCCGCACCCTCGCACCTGTGTCTACAGCCACGCTTATGATCAGTCCCTACCATGCGGCACATCAGTCTCCACATACCATTCTCTCATTTGTCAATAGTACAATGTACAATGTATTCACAATAATACATAGTGTCCTGCAAAGTTAAGCTCTCTTAGTTATAGGTGGAGAGTGGAGATGGGTGATGGATGTATCTGGACAAAATATGAAGCATCCAATAATATGGTCTAGCTATCCTTACAATCTCCCTTGTGCAGACAACTGGAGTACAAGGGATGGGAGGGGATGATGGGAACCACCACCTAAGTATATACCAGGCCTCATTATTACCGGCATTGGGGGGGATGGAGTGAAGTTTTTTTGCAAAACACATGAACCATCCAATTTCCTGAATTGTAATTTCTGAGTGTCTCAATGCAAATCGGGGGATGGGTGGACATCAGTATGAAAAACTCCATGCAGAACGTGGGGACACTGAATGTCTGGGTCTGCTGTGCAGCACTGAACCAGTAAGCCCCTCCAGTGGCCATCTAAGGAGTGGCCACTTGGAGGTGTACCTATGGTCAATGTAAAACACTGTCTTTTCTCTGAGTGTTTACATGAAAATGCCTGAAGGGAGCTATTATACTCACCAGAACAACTATATTAAGCTGTAGTTGTTCTTGTGACTATAGTGTCCCTTTAAATAAAATCCCTGGTAAAGGGGGCAGGGAGGGAATTAGGGAACCATGACTAAAGTATATACAAAGGACATGAACCTGTGGGGCCTAAGGCTGAAGACCCTCCACAATGTGACCATGGCAGGTGGGTAGTGACCCCAACCAGCAGCATGGGTTAATAGCCTAAGTGAGCCAAAATATCCGCCTTTGAGGCAGTGTGTATACGGCCTGATTAATCAGTTCAGGATATGGATATGGAGTCCTTTCTAGTCTTCGTGCTGGGTTGCTGGGAACCAGACTTGAAAGTGGGTCGTTTTCGTTTTGTAGCCTGTCTCCATCTGGTCCGCTGTAGTAATGCCTAAGTCGGAGGTGTAGAAACCTCCAGATACCAGTCCTCAACTTCCACCTGAGGCAAATTAAGGTTTCACAGAAACTCTGGGGTATCCGGTGCTGATCTGATGTAGTGAGTTGCCCCATTCTGTAGTACAGACAAGGAAAAGAGGTAGTAGAAAACAAAATGGTGTAGCACTTATTATGATCTCAAATAGAATCAAATATACTTAACAATATTGTTAGTTCCTTAAAATTAGTCAGTAAACACCTAGGATGGGAAAAGAAAAAAGAGAACTCCAATAGTGTAAAATGGTAAGTATAAGGAGGGAGTGAGTAACCTATATGGAACCACTCACATTTACCCGAGCTATATACCTAGCTCAGGGGAAAAACGCCAATAGGTCCGTTAAGGCAACCTTTCCCTTCTTGGTTGGAGTGATATCTTTAGATCCTGTATAGGGACTTATAGTAGAAAAAACAATATGGTGCAGTATCTAATGTGCTATGGAGTAAAGTAAAATATATAGAGAAATATACTCACAAGTGTAGAGCCGTATTATGAAAGGCTCAATCTCAGCGCTTTGTGAAGTGTCAGGACTACACACCTATTAGCAGGAAACCTCTGGCCCAAAGTGCATAAAAAAGTACTTATTAACCCCTTAAGACCGCAGCCAAATGTACAAGTTCTGATCCAAAAAAAATTTAAACAAACCACAGAATTTTACTATATGTCTGTTCAACAATAATTTACCTCTTTCATACTGTGTGCATCCACACTTCTTATATATCATTTTGTTCAGGGAAAACAGAGCTTTAATTTCATATCAAACATTCATATATGGAAC